CTCTAACTTAGCTCAATGACTCCCTCCGATGGCCGCCTTCCTCCCACCCCACCCCCAAAAATACAAGAGTCCTCAGGACCTCAGTTTGGTCTTGTTGAAAAATCACTGGAAAACTTGAATCTAAGCAAGAATCCTCTTTCCACTGGGAAGTGGTGTAGAGTGGGCGTGAGAATCAAATCCCAGGAGATGGCTCTGGCCAGAGGGTGGGAGCTGCCAGCTTGCCCTGGGGGTACAGGCTGGATGCTTCAAGGCCCCCAGAGCAAAGGGTGTGAGCTGGAAGGAGCACTATGGTGATGTGGTTAGCCTGGGGCTGGGCAGAAGGAGTTGGGAAGAAGGGGCTAGGGCCAGAGAGTAGGGGGAAGCCGGCAGAGGACTGGGGAGATCTGCGGGGCTGGGCAGGGGCCTGGGCCAGAAGGAAAGTCCACAGCCACAAGGGGGCTGAGAAGGAAAGGAGGAAGATAAGAGGCAAGGCAAAGGGATGGCACCCCGCCAGCCTGGCACTCAGCCCCTCCACGTGGCTCCAGAGCAGCGGGGCCCGACCCTGGTTCCTATTGGCAGAAACCACGCTGTGATACGGACGAGGAGTAGTATGGGTTTCCTGTTGAGGCCCAAGCAAACTTTCTGAGACCAAACCAAGCTTGCTGGAATGACCTTTCCCCCACTAGTCTCTTACCTGGCTTTCTGCCACCAAACCACTGTGGGTCAGGTTTCCCTAGCTCTCGGGGATGTTGGAAGTGATAATTACAAAGGAGCAAAACAGCCTATTCCTTGGGCCCAGTCACAACTCTCAGAAAACAGCCATATCTAGAGCCTTCTCTATGTCAGGCCAAATACCTCCCAAACTCCTTCAACCATTTTGGACTCCTCTGATTTTCAGACAGCCAGCTAAAAGGGGACACCAACCTTCCAGCTGTGGTCAAGCCCAGGAGCTCCCCCCCAACAGGACCCCTCAAGCCCCAGCCCTGGTCCCCGAGTCTCTGCAGGCTTCAACGGGTTTCCATGAAGCAGCCGACTCGCCCCCTCTGTCTCTGGCAGCCACCTCCTGCTCCTGACTCATCCCCAGCCCCAAGTCTGGTCCTCGGGCGCTGCTGCTAAGCCACGTCTCTCCCACCTTAACTTAGACCTAAATGCCAGGATTTATATTTGTCCCAGTAGTTTCATCTGGCGTGGGCCAGCCACCACTCAGCCTGCCCAAGAAGTCTTGGGTTTCCATCCGGAATCTGAACTCTCCCTTCAGCTTCGGCGGAGTCTCAGCTTCGGCGGAGTCTGATCCTCCTGTCTGCTGGGCAATCACAGGGGCCCCACCAGGGTGGCCTGGCTCCTTCGTGTGGACTCTTGAAGTGTGGTTGCCCAGGCCGCCCACAAACCCACACCAGTGGGAGCCTTGTGACCCCGACAGCCAGCTGAGCCCGAGACCGTCTCTGTTCCTGCTGACAGGGCCAGGAACCTATTTTCACACTGGGTTTGCAGTGTCACGGGAGAGTTCCAGGGGAAAATTCAAATGAAAGAAATGCCCAGGCTCCTCTCTAGCGTTTCTGGGCCCGTCCAGGGCGGAGTCCAAGAATTGGTGTTTTTTTTTTTTTTTTAAAGATTTATTTATTTATCCATATAGAACTGGGGTACAGGCCATAGATGCGGAGGGTGAGAGGATTCACCAGATACAGAGTGGGGAGCAGAACAGGCAGATCGACGAAGTACACTGCTGAGGGGAGCAGTGGGCGGGTCAGGAGAGGTCTGCCACACCATGTGGTCACCTCCGGGGCAGGCGGGGATCGAACTCATGAGGAAGTGGCTTCAGCTTCTCAGTGTAGTGCTTTAACCCGCTGCGCCACCAGGGAGGGACAAGAATTGGTGTTTTTTAAGCTCAGGGGCTGTTGACTCCATACTGAGTCTGAGCAGTCCCTCCTGTGCTTTCTGAAACCCACAGTCAAGCGCTTCCTTAAGTTCCAGTGTCTGTGGTTCTCTTCTGCAAGATCTGGGGTGGGGCCCTCTGGCCAGGGTGTGTGAACCAGAGGAAGTTTCAGTACTTAAGCCCAGGGCCGACAAGGCTGGGGGCGAGAACAGGGTGAGCCTCACACTCCCCTCTGTCGAAAGTTCTCCCCACCATCCCCGGCATCATGCCCACAGCGCCCTGGTTCTGCAGGATGGAGAAGACTGGGCAGAGCAGGATCCTCATCCAACACCAGTTGTCCAGATAGAGAACATTTTCATGCAATATATTTTTAAGTCAGAATTAATGCCAAATGATGCATGATGAACAAAATACCAACATTGTAAATTCAGGCTCGGTAGTGACGCCAAGCCACATCGGAGCCCGAGATAAAATCAGTAGCAGAAAAGCGAGAGTTGGCAGCGCCTGTTATGCCATTCCCTCCCGACCAGGCTGCGGGGGCACGGCCCCTCCCCCAGCCCCACTGCCCCTTCCGAGAGGCAGGCACAGCGCCTGGCTGGACAGCAAGGCTCCAGCACCGGTGCAGGCTGCTCCGGGCCGCGCTGTTGCCAAGGTGCTTCATCATCCCGGCTGTCTCCCGCCACCCTGCCCACTCCTGGGTGAACTGTCCCCACACTAAACAGTCTCCCACTTCAAGAAAGAAAGGATTCCGGGCCCTCCCTGGTGGCACAATGGGTTGGAGCGCAGCACTATGAAGTAGCCACGGCCACTGCAGCGCGAGTTCCATCCCCAGCCAGGGAGCTGACTCACAGGGTGCAGCAGACCTCTCCTGTCTCCCCGCTGCTCCCCTCAGCAGGTATTTTAGTAGATCTGCCTTTTCTGCTCCCCACTCTGTCTCTGGTGAATCTTCCTACCGCACCCCCCACACACACACACACCCCTTTGTCCCACACCCCAGCTCTTCTATGCATAAATAAATAAATCTTTTTTTAAATTTTCAAAAGTTTCACACCTGTGCAACCTTTCTCTGGAAGCTAAATAAATAAGGAGTGAGGCAGGAAAGATAATCAGGGTCAAGAGAGTTGGTGTCCACCACAGTAGACAGATAAGGGGGCTCCCAGGGAGGTGTGGGGTAAGCAGGGGAGCAGCCAGTCCAGTCTGAAGCAGGAGACAGAGAAGTTTCTGAGGGAGGGGTCAGGAGACAAGAGAACTCCCGATAAACTTATCACAAGGGAAAATACCAGTACATCGAAAAGGCATTTAATAGACTTAACCCGTGGGACAGCTACCTTAGCCTCTCCTGCCTAAAATGTGCTCAGAACACTACATTAACTGGGTCGAATCAGCTAATACAAAGCCTATTTTATAATAAAGAACTGACCACCTCATGTCATAGAAAGTTCACATTATTCCCAGGCTGGAATTAGCGTGACTGGTACCAACATGATTATAATGACATAATGCAGATAGTGCATAGGATTTAACAAAAAATTCTGAGAGCGAAACATGAGGCATGGGGAGCAGAGAAAAAGCAACAACAGGCAGGGAACAGATGAGGGCTACAGGGGCGAATCAAGAAGCAGCAGGACCAGCACATTACTCAGGGGCAGGGAGGTAAGTCCAGGGGTCCCGAGTGGCACCTGTGGGGAAGCTCTATGTTTTGTTTTTTTATTTTAGTGCTCTTTGACCTTGTGGACTGTGCACTTCTTGGAATTAAAAAACAGTTCTTAGGCCCTCCCTGGTGGCGCAGCGGGTTAAAGCACAGCACTAAGAAGCTTAAGCCACTTCTGCGCATGAGTTCAATCCCCGCCTGCCCCGGAGGTGACCACATGGCGTGCAGACCTCTCCTGACCGGCCTGCTGCTCCCCTCAGCAGTGTACTTCGTCGATCTGCCTGTTCTGCTCCCCGCTCTGTCTCTAGTGAATCCTCTCACCCTCCACATCTATGGCCTGTACCCCAGTTCTGTATGAATAAATAAATAAATCTTTAAAAAAAAAAAAACAACAGTTCTCAGGCCCTCCCTGGTGGCAAAAGGGGTAGGAACAGCCAACACTGCGCGCTGGCGGCAGCCAGTTCAGTGTGAGTTCAATCCCCGGCCCCACATGGCGAGGCAGGCCTCTCCTGTCTCCCCGCTGCTCCCCTCATCTGTGTACTTCAGGATCTGTTGTTCTGCTCCCTGCTCTGCCTCTGGTGAAGCCTCTCACTGCCCCTGCACCTCTGGCTTATGCCCCAGTTCTGTATGAATAAATCAATCAATCTTTTTTAAAAAAAAAATAGTTCTCAATGATTCTAAGAGCTAAAAAAAAAAAAAGTTTTCAAAATATTAAATAAAGCAAGAGATGCAGAGAAGCACATCTTGTCGTTTGATGGTTTCCCTGTGCTCTGGGAACGTGCCCTCTTCCAGCCGCAGGCTCCTACACACGGCACACGCACTCACACCCACCGCAGACACAAACAGCTCGCACGGCCCTACATGGTGCGCAAGAACCTTCAGACACACGTGCAAACACACTCCCCCTGACACCACACGTGCAGATTCACCGCAGCCAGAGGCCACCATCAGCTCCCAGAAAGCGGGAGGGGGGCCTTGCTGAGCAGAGCAGGAGCAGACACTGCAGGACGGCACTGGGTCCCTGTGCCCCCCAAATGCAGAGGCAGATGAGGCTCTCACCTGGAGCTTCATGCTAATTACTTCTCTCCTCAGCCACCTTCAGACTGCCCTGTCCTTAGACTGAGCCTATCTAGTCATTAACCCTTTGGGGTCCTCTGGAGACCCTTGGTCTGGGGTTGGGCAAATGGGGGGTGAGCAGTGCTGACAGCTGGGATGTAAATGATAATGCCACCGCCAGTGCCAGTTGGCTGGAGCCAGAGCTCAGCATTAGGAAGCCTGAGTCACAGGCTCTGGGTTCACAAGAGAGGGCGAAGCCTATGAAACTCTGAGATGCTAAGATTTTATGGTCCAGGCCGGGCCCTGCCTTCATCTCCTGCCCTGAGACCTCTCTCTCCATGCTGACCTCGAGGGCCCACCCCAAAGAATACGTTATTTATGCATCACTGGGAGCCTACCCCCCACTACTTCCCACCCCCTCCACCTTCCTCTGGCACTTACCACCACCTTGGTCCCATTATCCGGCAGTGTGTCAATGGCCAGGGTGTCCCCACCCAGGTCCTGGCTCAGCTGTGTCCTGTCTGGCTCTGACGCCTGCCCAGGGCTCTCGCGGGCTCTCCGGTTCCAGGTCTGCGTGGTCCCCTTGCTGCCCCATCCTGAGCCTCGGCCTGCATCCTCACCTGGAAGAAGGGGACAAGAAGCTGAGTCCTGGTTCAGGTAAAGGAGGATACCCAACCCCTCAACAACCTTGACTTTGGGGACTCTGACCCCTGGCTGGAGACACCCAAGGTGTGTGGCGAGCCTCGGACGGAGCTCCACACCAAGCACTGTGCTCACACAGGTTTGCAGCCCTTGCCCAGCCCTCTGTGGTGGAGATCATGAGCTCAGTTTACAGACAGGAATCAGCGGCTCATCCAGGTTAAGGAAGACCATGTGGCAGTGGGTTAGGGAGCCCAGGCTGATCTGCCACCCAAAGGGGTGAATAGTCTCAACTTCAGCTGCACACTGGAACCACTGCAGGAGCTTTAAATTTTTTTGAATTCCCTGGAAATTCTCCTGTAATGGGACTATGGTATGGTCTGGGCATTAGGGTTCTTTTCTGTTATGAGTTATTATTTTTTTTTTATGCACACAAGAACTGGGGTATAGGCCAGAGTTGTGGGGGGTGAGAGGATTCACCAGAAACAGAGTGGGGAGCAGAACAAGCAGAAACACACTGCTGAGGGGGGCAGCGGGGGAAGCAGGAGAGGTCTGCTACTCCATGGGGGTCACTCTCTGGCTGGGATGCAACTCTGCTGGATAGCCTGGTAGTGCTGAAGATTTCACCCCTGTAGCCACCAGAGAGGCCTGGCATTAGGATTCTTAAGTGATCCCCCGGTGAGCTTTTGGGAGGAAGCCCTGCCTGAACTTAACCCTTCAGGCAGGGGTGAGAATCACTGGTCTGGAACTTTCCAAAACTGTTCCAGAAAGGGCCCAGAACCTCACCCTCCAGGGGACTCAGGCCCGAGAGCAGAGGACTTCTTGGCCACGGTACCATCCATATCATGGACGGGATAGTTCTTTGTGATGGGGGATTGTTATGTGCATTGCAAGATTTTTTATTTCATTTTATACCCACTGTGCCTGTTTTTTGCAGGGCCTGCCCGTCCCCCAAGTTCCACCATCCCTATGTCCTCTGCATCTCCCCTCCCCCCTCTCTTAACCTCAAAGTCCTCTGGATGTTTATTAATGCCCACTAGCTTTTGAAAGTATTTTACATTATGGAACTGTCTGCGCTGTAAATGTCCTGTATCAGCTTTTATCATTCTGACTGACTTTGCCACTGCAGGATTTCTCGGCAGCATCCCTGGTTTCTGCCCACTGGGTGCCAGTAGCATCCCCCCATCCCCATCCCCGCTTTGGTCAGGGTCTGTGACTATCTCAGATGCTGCCATCGTGGGAGCCCCTCTTTCGCCCTTTCCTGTCTTTACAAGTCATTTTCCCTGTGAAATGAAGCTCACACAACACCAAGGATGGCAAACAGGTCACCTCAAAAGCCACCGCCACTGCTCAGAGACAGCCAGGGGAGAGCCAGTGAGGGGCCTCCTGAGCGCTGCGTGGCTTGCAGAAGACTGTCCCTGCAGGCGTCCCCGGGCTCAGGTCTGCTAAGTGGCCACTCGAAGGCCACTCAGCAGCCATGGCTGGGCTCCCCCATCTATCTCCCCAGTTCCCCAGAATGCTAAATTCATTCTAACACATTCATGATGCAAAACCATGCTTTTCCGTTTCAGGAAGATTTCTGCTCCAAAGAGGTGTCATACGTTGTCACTTCAATGCTCACACCAACCACGGCGTGTATGAGGGACACAGACCACCGGGCAGGTGGGTCTGATCTTCGCTGTGGGCTCCAATTTCAGGCCCATCCTGTGTCCAAGGCTCTCTCTCCTCTACCTGCCCCCATGGGCCCCCACGCTGCTGAATGTAGTCATCTTTCCTGAGCATCCGTGGGTAACTGAGGACCCTTCTCCCTGGTGAGAGTCCCCAGGACTCTCCCCACCCCCACTGCAGTTATGTATCCTCAGGAGTACAAACAGTAGGTGCTCAATCATTGCACAACTGAGAACACAATACTGGAGGATACTTTGGGAGCTGGCAAGGACAGAGGCTGAGACAAGGCTTGGCCAGGCCTGGACCGGGGCTGGGGCCAGGACTCTGCTGTGGGGCCCCAGTTTGTCATTAGACATTTTATCCAATTAAGTCATTCTTGGCTGCTGGCACCCGCTGGACCCTTGCCGGCCCCCTCTCACTTCTTTGCCTCTAATAGCAAACAGATGCTCTGGAGGTGGGGAGAGGGGTGGTTCCCAGACCCCGTCCCCAAGATGCCCGCTGGCTGCCCACAAATGGACCAGAGCCCAGGCTGGAAAGCCAGACTGCCCATGGCCCAGACCCCAAGCCAGGGCTGTCCTGCCCCTCTGGGTGGGGCCCGCAGCTGCCTCCAGAGACAACTGTGTGTGCCAGGCTGGCCTCCCTGGCTCCACGGGTCCTCCTGCAAGCAGCCCTCAGCGTGGGCAGCAGCCAGAACAGGGAAGGAGTGTTTGCACAGCAAATGGCGGAGCCTGGAAAGGGCTTCTGAGGCTCTGTAGACACCACAACCCCGCAACTGAGTCAGGAGGGTACCCGGATGGTGGAGGCCCCAGGCCAGAGGAGAGAGCAGGGAGAGCAGACCCAGCCACAACTGGGGCAAGGAGGAGACACTCTAAGTTTTCCTCTAAAGCCGCTTGCTCATCACTGAAGTGGGGGTGACAAGCACCCGGCACGAGCTGCCATGAGCATCCAGGGGAGACATAAGTGAGAAGCTGTAAATAGGGGCCAGGGTCAGAGGCAAACAGCCCATAAAAGTGATCAGAGCAAGAGAATGAGAGGCAGGTCTTTGGCGAGCACTGCCTAGCCCTGAATCGTCCCCCTTCAACCTACACCACATCTGACTCCCTGCCCCTCTCGCCCACCAAGCTGGCTAGGCCCCTCAGCCGGCCCTTGCACGCTCGGACCCGCCTGCAGGCCTCGGTCCTCCCGCCTGTGCGCTCACACGTGAGTCGCACACGCACAGCCCTTGGCCATGCCCTCCTGACGCTCCACTGGCGCTGCAGACTCCATCTTTCCAGAGCCCTCTCTGTCTCTGCCTGTGAGTGCACCAGCCTGCAAGGGATGGCAAGAAGCTTCTAGGGCACGGGCTGTTCCTGTCGTCATCCACTCATCCACCGTGGCCCAGGCAGCATATGGCCTGGTGGAATATCACAAAGCTACAGTGACAGTACCAATGACAGCTGACACTCAGAGAATGCTTACTCCCTGCCTGCCCGATGTGAGCGCGCAGGGCATCAACCCCAGTGATCGCGTACAGTAACCCAAGAGAGCATACTGGTTTCACATTGACCTTACATACTGGAAAATCTAGGCACAAAGAAGTTAAGGACTCCCCCAAGGGCACACGATGAGTCCAGGGCAGGACTCATCCTCAGGCCAACTGGCCCAGGGCGCGCTCAGATCACACAACTAAGGAGAGGTGACCTGGGCCTCCAGGATGCTTCCTAAGGAGCAGGGGTCCCCCCCACCCCCAGGTGGGGCTGGCGGATGGGGGCTCCTGAGGGGCCTGCACTGATGCTACTGAGCCTGAATTTGGGAACTGCCCCGGGGGGCCACAAGCCCTGCCAGACAGCGGCTGCCCAGGGCAGTGGTCCAGCCTCCACACGTGCCACTGCCCTGGGGCAGCGGGCATTGGGCAGGCCTCAGGAGGCCAGGTCTTGCCATGCTCCAGTGCCCGAGTCAAGCTACTCTCACCCCATCCATCCTCCAAATGTGTCACTCCAGCCCCATGGTCACCACTCAGTTCTGGCCACCACTCCTGTTTCCTGGAAGCCACTCCAGCCTCCACCCTCAGGCTGGCCCCCCACCCCCTTGCCTAGGGCATCTAGAGGCTGGAGGATGGACTTGATTCTGGCTCTCCTGTGCTGCCAGTCACGCAGCCCTGCGCCCTTCATGACCAGATCCTGGCCTGCCCCTCCAGCCCCCTGTGGCCCTTAGGCCCTCTCCAGGACCCAGCCCTGCCCTCTCTGGCCACAGGGCTTCACACGTGCAGTTTTCTCAGCCAGGACCACTCTGCTCCACAAATAAACCTTGCTTCTGATGAGTTCTTGCTCATCCTTCAAGTCTCACGAGATGTCACTTGTTCCCAGAGCCTCGCCTGACCTCTCAGCCCTCTTCCCCAGGTATTACTGATACCAGCGCACCTACAGGCTCCAGGTGAATGACACAGAGCACATATTCAGTAAGCAGACAAGGATGATGGACGGAAGGCAGAGAGAGGAAGAGAAGGGGAGAAGGGAGGAAGACCCCTTTGGGCATAGCCCCCTGGAAGCCCCTACAGTAATATCTCAGCGATAAAAGCGCCCACGTTTGAAAGCAGTCCCACGCAAGATTCAGCCACTGGCTGAGTGCACAGCTGGTAAATTGCATGATCCCCTAAACCTCAGTCTCCTCATCTGTAAAATGGGGATGGTAAACCCTGTACCTCAGTCTCCTCATCTGTAAAATGGGGATGGTAAACCCTGTA